ATTACTGGTTGCCAGTAGCTGCAAAGGATGCCAGTCAGAGCATCCCAGGTTGCTAAGAGCTGGTATGGGATATGTGAAGGGCCATACAAATCTCCCCCCTGGCTCTTATCAACCTGGCATGGTCTGTCCCGTGTCCCACGTGCTCTGGCTGCTGAGAGCCAGGCAGGGGATGTGTATATCTTTTACACATCCCTCGCCCAGCTCTTAGCAACCTGGCACACTCTGGCCAGCATCCCTCCCAGCTCCTGGCATCCAGTGACGCCAGTGATCTGTATTGGAGAGGGGTAGAGATTTTAAAAAGTCAGCTGTCTCCATGGGGCAGTAAACATTCACTTACCCATGGAGCGGTACCTCCACTTCAAGTGGCTCCCACAGCGTGTGCAATATGTGCCAAACCCAGGATTCACCACTGCTGGTTCAGCCTTACCAGCATGTTCGGTTTTGGTCACCAATCCTCAGAAAGGATTGCTTGAACTTGAGAGAGGCAAGACAAGATTATTAACGGGAGGAAAGGCCTGAGTTATGAAGATCGCGTCCAGAAATTAAATTTGTACTCAGAGAAGAGACACCTAAGAGGACTTGCAGGACTCGATTGCAATTTTCAAATTCATTAATGGGGACCGCAGTATTGAATAAACTGTTTAGACTAAGAACTCTAATGGTGAAAGGAGGACGCTACACGAGGTTGGACGAAAATGTGGTTCAATCTCAGTCTACACCAGGGATTCTATTACTGTGAGAGCAGTAAAAATGTGGAATTCGCTTCCACAGACAGTGGTACCCGCTGATAGCATTGATAAATTCAAAACATTCTTAGGTAAATTAGTCAGTTCGCTGAATATACTAACGTATGGGAACCATTAGAGACAGGTACACACTCACACACACACGTATAGGTTAACCTGGATGGACTTGTATCTTTATTCAACCTTACCTACTATGTTACTATGCTACAACATTCCGTATTCTTGCAGAATCCTCACTGAAAACTCCAAGCACAAACTAGCCTTTTCATTATGTGTGCATGCAGCAAATGAAGAGACGTCTAAGAGGGGATATTATTGCGATTTGCAAATTCAGCAATTGGGACTGCAGTATAGGGAATAAACTGTTTAAAGAACTCTGAAGATGACAAGTGGACATAACAAGAAGTTGGATAAAGCTGAAAGTATCGATAACTTCAGAAAACAATTTATTGAGTACCTCCGTTCACAGAATATACAGGGATATGGGAGCTGTTAGCGACACATACACACGTATAGTTTGAACAAGATGGATCTGTGTCTTTTTTCAACTTTGCCAACTATGTAACTCTGCAGTAGAAGTATTTTCCTTAAACAAGCACATAACACTTGCAATTGTTTCTGTACACACATAGAGGTTAGATATGCACCAAGGTAAGGTGATATGTTTTATGTGATATGTTTGATCACATTGTTTGTAAGTTCTTTGTTTGATTTGCTCAATAAAAAGAAACATTTTAAATGGAAAAAAAAAAAGATATGCACCAAGGACAGGGGAGTCCATCTTGCCTGAGTTACTGGCACTCTCAAAGCCTCAACATCTACTGAAGACCACAATAAAGCTTTGCAGATTCTGATTGCATCCGGGAGATCATGTTTTGTGCACTTTAATGACTTCTGTAAGCGTTCCAGATCAAACATCCGCGCCGTCCTAGAACTGACAAATTCCATTCCCTTTTTTTTTGTCATAGAGAAAACTTCACTTTCCCAAGAGCACTCTGCTGATTGAAGCACACAAGTCCTGAATGCCTGGTGACTTTAGAAAGTGGATTTTCAAGCGAGGAGAATCGGCGGCCCGCCTCTGGTCTCTGTCCTATTTTTCCTGATTCTCCACACTTTTTATGTAGAGAGAATAAGCCGGAGAACTCCACAACACAGCTGTATTCAGTCTGAAAGATGGAGAGCATTTTATCTCTGCACTGACAGCTCTGTGAGCACAGGAAGCCCAGCAGGAGGAGGTCACATTGTGACTTCTGAAAGGTTGGCACAGTCTCAAAAAGTCATTGTAACGGTGGGCATCAGATGGTGGCTGGTGGGCTGTATTTATCATGATGCTACTCATGGGCCAGTGGATAAGGCAGCTGTGTTAGAAGGGGAAACAGCAAGAGCCTTTATTTACAAACTGTTTTCCTCTTCTTGACACCTCTGGAAGTGTGTGACTGAGTTCATTAAATGAATTGTAGGGTAAAGTGTATGCAGGGGATGCCTAGAGGAGTCAGAAGGCTCTTGATGGTTTAATCTGCAAACAATGTGAAATGTGCAGGCTGTTCACTTTGCAAAATAATTTGCACATTGCAGGAGAAGTTCCCCTTAGCTTGGTGAATGTGGTAAAGAATATCCAAACCTGAGCAAGGAAGCTAAAAAACAATATTTTTGCTTGCATGATTGGGTGATGGAAGCCAGCGGAGCTTCACCTAATTCAATAAAACTTCCCAGGCAAAGTGCAAATTTCATTGCAAAGTGAACACAGCCTATTTGCCTTTAATAAATCAAACCCATACTTACCCATAGGTCGCTCTCTGACTGGCCAGATGAGCAAAGCGCCGGCATTTTTGGTTGATTCTGCAGCATCTCTGTCAGTGAGTGAGCAGCAATTCTCTCATCTTAAAAATGAGTATTTTCACTGCTCTTCTCAGTGATCTGGTCCCTGGTGAGTTGTCACCTGTGACAGGTGTGACATTGGCCTAACCAGATGCATCCGGAGCGCGGGTGGCACCCAGTGCGGCCGCCAGGTGTCACCCCCCTGGTAACTCATCACGCATGCACGTGACATCATCATGCATGTGCATGACGTCATCATCTACGTGCATAATGAAGTCATAGGCATTTAACTGCCTGTAGCCATCTTGGCGATGGATGCTGGCATAGAGAGGAGGGGACATTTATCCAGCAGGATAAGGTATGCTGCAGGGTCCCCTCCTTTCCAGTGCGGCTGATGAGCTCTTGGTCCATGACTGAGTGCCTGACTTTTCAGAAGGGGTGACACCGAAATGACTGTCAGTCTTTTTGGTGTCACCCCTCTGATAGTAGTAAAATATATCACCAGCACACCGTGCTCAAATCTTTAGAAAGTGATCATTTTATTGATACACAGATCTTGTCAATAGCAACGTTTCGGGGCCACTCGGGGTCACTTCCTCAGGCATGACAAGGAAGGATTCTTCTGTACCCCTCTGATAGTGTCCCCCTGTGTGGGCCGCACACCCCTTGTGACGCCTAACACAAAACAAGAAAAGTTCAGGCGTTCATGGTGTAGTCATCTTTAAACTAGGTCCAGCAAAAATCTAGGAACAAAAATTACTTGGGAAGAATTGGTTGTTAAAAAAATGGTACCTTGCCCTTTATTCATGGACAGTGGTCTAATAGTGGAATTATTCTTTACATAGGAGGAGGGCTGAGCTCAGTGTGTGCTGTATTTACATCATGTCAGGAGAACAGACATACAATACAGCTCAGCATCACTGAATAGAAATCTGATTTTATGGTGGGCAGGGGCTGAGGCTCCTGTGAAATTAGGGTGTGCTAACTGCTCCGTATGTTTCTCATGTCTTAATCTGAAGCGGAACATGTCATCATCTTTTACTTCCGACCTCCAGAGAGCAGAAAATTGCCCATTAGATATAGTGGGGCAGCCTGCTGTCAGGATGGAGGAGTGAAAGAGCTGAATGAGCTGCTGCTGGCTGACCACATCTCCTTCTCCCTGCGGGAGTCAGGGGCTCAGTGTCCCCCGGGGGATGTTTGTCCTGGAGAAGGATGAGTTGGGAGCTGTACTTTCCTGTACAATTTACAGGAGAGACAAGCAATCTGAGACTCATCAACTGCATGGGAGGAATCAGTCTGCCATATAATGCTGGGACTTGTAGAAGTGTAACAGTGTATCTTCTTGTGTTCCTCGAATGTGTATATTCTGTTCTCCCCTCTACTGGAATCTAAATACATATCATGAAAACAATGTCTTCACCTTTGGTCATATCTTTCTTCAGTTCAGCTATATCCTCCCATGTCTCTTCTTTTATAGTCCTCCATCTCTCACCTCTCTCTCTGTTTTCTTCCTCTATCCCTCTTTCTCCCTCTTTCTTTCTTTCCTTCTTTCTTTCCTTCTTTCTTTCTTTCTTTCTTTCTTTCTTTCTTTCTTTCTTTCTTTCTTTCTCGCCCTCTCTCTTGCTTTCTTTCTCGCCCTCTCTCTCTTTCACTCTCTCTTTCACTCTCTCTCTCGCCCTCTCTCTCTCTCACTTTCTTTCTCGCCCTCTCTCTCTCTTCCCTCTCCTGTCCTCTTTTCTCTTTCTCTACTCCCACTCTCTCTTTCTTTCTTTCTTTCTTTCTTTCTTTCTTTCTTTCTTTCTTTCTTTCTTTCCTCTCCCAACCCCCCCCCCCCCTCCCTCTCTCCCTCCTCTCCC